TAGTGCTCTTACCCCCTGAGCATCTCCTGGCCTTGTGTGCACTGAGACTCTATGGTTAGTGCTCTTACCCCCGAGCATCTCCTGACCCTGTGTGAACTGAGACTCTATGGTTAGTGCTCTTACCCCCGAGCATCTCCTGGCCCTGTGTGCACAACTTTCTCATCACTGGAGTCATATTTCGCAACCAATAAAACTTCTTCTACTTTACACTCAAAATTGCATTAATTTTCTATTTTACCATAAATATTTGATAATTGACATGGTTACAGTTCTAAATTGCTTATTATTAATTGATTCCTAAATCCATAGGACAATTTTGTGTTATTTTACTCTTTTATCTTTATAGATAGCAATTGGGGAACAACTCTGGGCATGTAAGCTCTTTGGTTACTGTGAGTTTTGGAACTATGTGTCCCTGGAGGTGAGCTAGTATCCGTTTGGTTCCTGAGCTTTTTCAGTGCTCTTTCCTCTCTGCTGCTGTGCTCCAGATAAAGATGTTGATTTATTTTATTTTCTCTTTTTCCTTTGTAAATTATTGTGTTATTTAGTACTAAAAAGTTTTAAGAAATGAGTGAAAACGGTTTTGTAAAGTAAGCCCATAAGAGGGAAGCAATTACAGATATTTTTATACGGGCTCGTCAGTGTCCTTTAAACGGAGTAATCAAGTGGCATCTGCAATTACTAAAGCTGCGTGGTTCACACATGCAATTAAATCTAGAGGATGTACTTACTTCTCTTACATTTCTACTTCTTCAGAGCTTGTTACTAAGAGCTGACTTTTATTTATTTACTTATTTTTCACCATGAAGCTCAGTTTTGGAGGAATTCCAGTGCCAAGCAAACCTGGAACCTTTTTAAAGAAAAACTTCCATGGCTGTATTGAAAACCTTTACTACAATGGAGTGAACATAATTGACTTGGCTAAAAGACGCAAACATCAGATCTACTCTGTGGTAAGTCCACTCTCTCTGGCTGTTACCTAGCAGTTTGTGGACGTGGGTAAGTCTTGCTTTGGTCCTCTACCCCTGCATCTCTTCACACTCTGTTAATCTTATGTGTTTAGAATTTTCGTCAGTCAAGGCTGAGTCTGTAGTTCAGTCGTTAGTGGGCTTGCCCAGCATGTATAAAACCCTGAGTTCCGTTCCCACCTCCATACAAAAATGGGTGCTTTAGTTAACTTTCTAGCTATGGTCTGACAAAGCAATCTAGAGTACGAAAGCTTTATTCTGGTTCATAGTATGAGAGAATGTATTTCATCATTGCAGAGAAAGCATGGTAGTAGGAGGAGGCTGACTGGTGACATTCCATCAGCACTTAAGACAAAGAGTGAACAGGCATTGTTCCTGGGATATAAGGGTCCTAGACCCTCTGCCAGTGACTAAACTATAGTAAGGCTCCACCTCCTTAAGGTTTTAAAATCTTCCCAAACAGGACTAACTTCTACATGCTAAATGTTCAAACACGTGAGCTTAGAGGGAATATTTCATCCTCTGGCCACAACGGTGCTGCATACCTGTAATCCCAGAACTTTGGAGGGGAAAGCAGGCAGATCAAAATTTTAGGACATCCTCCATTACATAACAACTCGGAAGGCAGCCTTTTCCATGAGGTCCTGCCTCAAGAAATTAAAAATGAAATAAAAAAATTATCATCTTGTTAGCAGACTTTATATTGGAAAAGAGCCAGCTGAGAAAAAGTGACTGCAAATCATTTTATTGGTTAAATCAAGTATAGACATACAAAGAATATTGCTTTCTTGGCTGTGTGAAAGATTTGAAATCTATGCAGACTAATATGGATTTTCATTAAAAAATTCTAAGAAATACAATGAAAGAATAGATCCTGCTGAATTATGTGGCTAGGACATTGTGTGTATACTTATTGATTATATTAAGCAAGATATTTTAAATAATACTGCAATATTAGTGTCTTAGAGGTTCCTTGTGGATCACTTATAATGATAGTGGATTAAATGACTCATTAATTCACTAATGTCTATTTTACCTAACACACCTTGAGTTTTATGAGAAGTCTTTAAAAGAATATCCTTGAATTTTCTCTCCTCTCTTCATTTGCTCTTACATCTCCCCATCTCCCTGCATTCCCTTTCAAATCCAAGGCCTCTTTTTCTTTAATTATTATTAAACACACACACACACACACACACACAC